CCCTCCCCGGGGTGCCGCAGGGACACGGCCACCGGCTCCGACAGGTTTCCCACTCCGCAGCCGTCTGCAGCAACAGAGAAACCCGGTCAGCAGGACAAGTGACACCCCTCCACCTGCACCCCCAAGGGGTCTGGACATGGGGGATGCCCCCCCCACATCCCACCTCTCCACGAGAAGCCCAGGGATGGCTCTGCGCTGCAGGAACACCCCAAGAAGCCCATGGAGCTCCATCCCCCAAGAAAAACACCCCCAGGGCAGCCCAAGCCCCCCCCACCGCCGCCCTTACAGGTCCCTGCGTAGATGACCGGGGTGGCCACGCTGCGGCGTTTGCCGTCATCGGCCAGCCGGGAGGAGTTCCCGGTGCTGCAGAAGAGTTTCCCGTTGCGGAAGACCAGCAGCTGGAGCTTGCAGTCAGTCCCTGGAGTGGCTGAGACCGGGCTGGCAAACAGGCTGGGGGGCAGCTGGATGGAGGCCAGGGCGATGCTGTTCTGCGGGCGCAGGGTCGCCGGTGAGCAGGGGCCGACCCCCGGCCCCCCCCGGCCCCCGGCGTAGCCGTACCTTGATGTGGGAAAAGCTGGTTCAGGGAGACGTTTTGGGGCGCCCCCGGGTGCAGCGCAGCCTGAGGCCTGCTCGGCTCGGGCCGGCTCGGCCCCCCGCTCGGGCCGGGGGGGGACGTCCCGGTGCAGCCCCGTCCCGCCGCTGGAACGCCACACAGCTCAGCCCCACGTAGCTCTCGGGCTTCACCACGTACGCCTCGAAGGCGATGTTGCGGGAGTTCTGCCGGGCACAGCGCCGTGGGGGGGGTCATCAGTCCTGGCACGGCCAGAGAGACCCCTGGCACAGGCAGAGACCTGACACCAGCCCCCCAATTTTTCCTCCTCCCTCTCCAGCCCCCCCTCACCACCGCCATGTGCTGGGAGTTGCTGCCCAGCGTGTGGGCTGCGATCCTCTCCAGGGAGCGGACGATGCTGGTGCAGGCCTTCTCCTCCTTCTGCGACATCCACAGGATGTGGTCGTCCACCAGCATGATGTTGCTGGCCATCTCCACGATCACATCCGTCAGCTGCAGGGACAGTGAGTGGCTCTGCAAAGATCTGCCACTGTCCCCCGGGGAAACACCCCAGTTCATGCTTTTCCACCCCAAAACCACGGGGCAGTGCTGGGGCAAGCAGGGGACAGCTGCACCACTCGTTACCTGCTTGATCTGGTCCACGTAGCCGATAAACTTCTCTATCATCTGGGCCACATAGAGGACATCGACCATGTCCGAGAAGTTGGCTGCCTCGGCCGTGTAGACGCGGAGCTGGTGCGCCAGGGTCAGGGCGTTGGAGGCGTTGATGGGCATCTGCAGGGCAGCACAGTGGAGGCAAAGTCAC